GAGAAGTCTCCCATGCACATCCATCAGTTGCGCATCAATTATATTGTCCACGGATAGGCCGTACTTCCTCATCAAATTGCCATATCCAGCTCCACTAAAGTGGCCACCAACACCAACTGTAGGACAAACACCGGCAGGAAAGCCATGGATTTTGCTTTTCTCATAAATTCTGTAGAAAAGTTCACCAAGAGTTACCCCAGCCTGGACCCATGCAGTCTCAGAATTTATGTCTATGTCGATGGATCGAAGATTAAACATGTCGAGGAGGAAGAACGGAACTTCAGACACATAAGATACACCCTCATAATCATGGCCTCCGCTTCTAATTTTCATCTGCAAGTTTTGCTTTTGAGCACAAACAATGGCTTGCTGCACATGAGATTCATGCAGAGGAGTGATAATAAGGAAAGGTTTCAGGGTTGAACATGTGTTGAATCGAAGGTTTCGGATGTAAGATCGCAAAACAGATGAGTAAGAAGCATTGTTGGGAATGTAAATTGCTTCAGAGATGGGGTGAGAACGCTGGGAATGGCTTAGAAGGCATTGAACAAAGTCTTGATCTGGAGCTGAATCTGAACCTGCCCAAGAAACATTGAATGATAATAATAATAATAATAATAAAAGAATTAACTGAAACAATAAGAGCTGTGGAAGGCTTAGAATTCGCATTTTGTAGCACTGATGCAAGTAGTAAGAGCTGTGGAAGGAAGGCTTAGAATTCCCAACTTTTCTCCAGACAATTCCAAAATTATTTAGTATAAAGCTGCTACTTTCTTTACTACGATGATGGCATATAAGACTGCATTATGTATGCATAAGATTCCCTGTATGATTTTGCAGAGTTTTTCACCTTTCTAAAAGTAAACTGTGTGGTGGCCATATGGTACCAGACAAGACAACCAGTAAACTGTACCCTAAATGGTAACCCAATCTAGTGCAAATCTTTCGACCAAAAAAAAAAATCTAGTGCAAATCTGCTGTGCATATATAAGATTCCCTCTATAATAAAATTTCTGCAAAACCACCTGAATTTTGCTAGCATCAGTCGTCCAAAACAGCCTAATACATGTATTTACTGTATAATAACAGAAAAGAATGATCCAGTTATTTTCTTTTGAAAGGTCGTGCGAGGTTAACTTTATAATGAATATGTGGAGGAGACAAGTCATGCTCAGACATTTTCTTGTGAAAGGTAAGTTTCTCTTGGGACCAGAAATTGCCCCCACGCACTAATAATTGTTTCATATCCATTTGACATGTTTTTCACATCAGGCAATTTAGCAATTATTATTGTTGAGTCGGCATCTACTATTATTAGTTTATTATGTCCCACGCACAAAGAAACAATTGTTTGTTCTACTTGTATTCCTACCTAACAAAAAGCATAGTGGTCAACAAAAAGGGTCTAATTTAGTGGAAAAAAGCATAGTGGTCAACAAAAACTTTGTTAGATAAACTTTAACAATACAATTAAAGACATCAACATAAAACATCTAATGTGTGTAGCCAAAGTGATCAAAAAGCTCACATCTTGTAGCCAAAGTGGCATCTCTTCCTGTCTAGTAAGGCCATCTCCAACCTGAGAGGACTCAAACCCAAATTTTCCCCCATCAAAATACAACTATTCATGTATTGGACACACTAGTCATGAACTATTGTTATGAAGTGCTCCAAGAAAGGACAACCCTTCAAAATGAGAGAGTTTTGAATTTCGATATTGCCTTCACTGCCAACTTTATACCAAGCACAATCTACAGAAACTTCCTAAGACCAATTTGTGACAATGCTTATGTAAGAGCTGAGATTAATTGGTATATTCCATTGATAATTTACAAGTACAAGACCTATGATTATATACAGATGAATACAATCCTAATAAGGTAAATACAATCATAATTGAATGACTAAATCAATCCTGATCAAATAGAATGGGAAAGACAGCTTAGCACAAGTCATGGTTGACTTTCGTATGAAGGAGCATATGATTGTGGAATGATTTGCGTTGTTGATGAAGTAATATCCTTTGATGTAGGAGATTCCCTAATACGCCCCCGCAAGATAGTGGCACCATCGGAGACACCGATCTTGGAATGAAGAAGATGGAAACGTGGACATGGCAAGGGTTTGGTGAGAGCATCAGCAAGCTGATCAGCAATGGAGACATGAGACACTTGAAGAAGGCCACGAGTGACACAATCCAATACAAACTGAAAATCAATATCAATATGTTTCAAACGTGAATGAAGGACATGACTAGACAATAGAACATGGCTCCAATATTATCACAGGAGACAACAAGTGTTGTGGGGAGATGGATGCCAAGTTCACGCAGTAAAGACTGAATCCATGTGAAAGATGAAGTCCAAAAGAGATGGTACCCTTCAAGCAGCAAAGAAGACGCTTGAGTGCCTGCCAATGAGTCTCAGAAGGAGAATGTATGAACTAAGTGAGCTTGTTGACAACGAAGGAGATGTCAGGCCTTGTAGGACTGGGGTATTGGAGACCACAAACAAGACAACGGTAGTGAGTTGCATCAGTTGGGGAGGAGCCATCATGGAGCACAAGTGGTCCAGTGGTGGAGAGGGGCGTACTGACAACCTTTGCACCATGCATCTTGGTGTAGGGGCTTTTCCTTCCGGCAGTTTTATGCTGAGAGAGGAACAGACCAGTGGCTATGGGAAGGACCTCAACACCAAGAAAGTAATGTATGAGTCCTTGATGGAAAACCGAGTGGCCAAGATTTGAATGAACTTCGCCACAAGTAAGGAATTGTTTCCTATAATAATAAGATCATCAACACAAACCAAAAAAATAAATTACATCATTCCCATTTTTTAAGAGAAAGAGGGAGGCATTTGAGATGGCATTGACAAAGCCATGAGAGATTTAAAAAAAAATGAGTGTAATTCCTTGTACCACGCACGGGGAGCCTGCTTAAGGCCATAGAGGGCTTTCCTCAATTTACAAACATGAGAGGGATAATTAGAGTCAACAAAACTCGGTGGTTGTGTCATATAAACATCTTCACGAATTATGCCATGAAGAAAAGCATTGTTAATGTCCAATTGGCGAATTGGCCAACCATGAGTTACTGCAAGATGCAAAACAATTCTTATGGTAGTAGGTTTGACCCCCAAGGCTGAAAGTATCAGAAAAATCAACACCAAGACATTCGTGAAAACCCTTGACAACTAAGCATGCCTTGTCCCCGGGGAGCCTGCTTAAGGCCATAGAGGGCTTTCCTCAATTTACAAACATGAGAGGGATAATTAGAGTCAACAAAACTCGGTGGTTGTGTCATATAAACATCTTCACGAATTATGCCATGAAGAAAAGCATTGTTAATGTCCAATTGGCGAATTGGCCAACCATGAGTTACTGCAAGATGCAAAACAATTCTTATGGTAGTAGGTTTGACCCCCAAGGCTGAAAGTATCAGAAAAATCAACACCAAGACATTCGTGAAAACCCTTGACAACTAAGCATGCCTTGTCCTTGTCAATAGTGCCATCATGGTGCCGTTTGATACGTAACACCTATTTACAACCAATAAGATTTTTGAGAGAGAATAGAAGGAATGATCTCCCATGTACCATTGTGAATTAATGCATTAAACTCATCAGACATTGCTTGTCGCCAAAGAGGATACTTTACGGTCTAGGAAACACATGTCGGTTCAACTGAGTAGGGAATGAGGTGTTTAGTAGCAATCATAGCATAGTGGAGATTGGGTTTGTGGATACTTGCTTTGGCACGTGGCCCCCCCAAACTCCATGAAAACCCCATTATTTCTTAAGCATCAACTACAATATTAGTTAAAATATAACTCTATATAATCTTGCATTTATAGTACTGGCCCCCCTACAGATTAGCTTCTAGCTCCGCTACTGCATGTACCATTGTGAATTAACGCATTAAACTCATTAGACATTGCTTGTCGCCAAAGAGGATACTTTACGGTCTAGGAAACACATGTCGGTTCAACTGAGTAGGGAATGAGGTGTTTAGTAGCAATCATAGCATAGTGGAGATTGGGTTTGTGGATACTTGCTTTGGCACGTGTGACCATGGAATGATCGGGAAGCACAGGAGGTACGTGTGGATTGGGAGGTTGCGGGTCAGAGGAAGGAAAAGTGACAACAGTCTTATGGGGTTTCTAGTGTATGTACGGATTGGGCTTTGCCGGGGAGGGTGTTGAGCTGAGTCAGTTCGAGCTTTTGTGGATGGGATGGATGCGATGAAGATCATAGCGGTGGAGTTAAGGGCACAAACATGGGGTTTGGGTGGTTGTAAGAGAGGAGCAGCAGCGGCAATTGGGGCCTGGGAAAGTGAGGGTGATGGCTCCAAGATGGGGATAGATGCAGAGGATGATGATGTGACTGGTGGTGGTGAAGAGGAAACAACTGGCGTGACATGCATGGTGGGGTGGACGGGAACATGGGTAACTGGAGGAAGAGAGGAGACCCGAGTGTGAGAATTATCAACAGTGACATGGGGAATGGAGGAAGGGAGGTTGGCAAGAGGAAAAGTGGACTCACCAAATTGAACATGCCTAGAGATAAAAAGTTTGTTGGAGGAAAGAAACCCTAAATTTTGAATAAGAAGCCCCTTGTAGTTTCTAAGCCATGCTTAGATCGAAGTTCTATATCATCTCTTTTGAAATATTTCCTCAATCAAATCCACCATTGTATTGGTGGGCTCGGCCACTATTAGAGAGGTGGTACACAATGTGGTATATAAATGTGGTAAGTCTTATTACCTTAGTGCATACATCGCAGCTATCAATATAATATGGCTCTCATTCGTAAGTAAGTCTGAGAAATACCATTGTTTTCCATATCAACCAACAATTAACCAACCCTAGACTCTATGATTTTCCGCATGCAATCCTTCTTTTACCTAATTAATACATTAAAGTACGTGGAAGTAGAATAATGAATTTGATTTGCATGAAAACGAGCTTTATTAATAGGATTCTAGGAATGTTTAAATTCCTCAAAACGAGCAAATGAAAAATACATTATTGTCAAGGTAAAACTAACCTTCATCCCACAATGTAATTCAGCTAAGTACAAACAAATGACAATGCTTAATTAGAAAGATTTTATTCGGGGTAAAGCGATCTCATCTCTAATAAAAGTACGATCTGTTTAAATTTGGAGATGTGGTCTCCTTACATGCGGTCGCGGATGTTATAGACGGTCTGCCAAAGGGTGAGACCAAGCAGGATAATGGCTAAAATGAGGGAAATAATTTTCCATGGGCTAGAAAACTTTTCACGCTTCAGCAATTCCCACCAAACGTTCCATTCTTCGTCATAATATTTGTTTACTTTATCACAAAGTTCACCATAGTAGAAGGTCTCGAGCCAAGTGCCATTGTAAAGATTGTTGAAGAACTTGGTACCATCTTCAGCGCTGAGCCAGTTAGCTATCACCCCGGCCTCACACAGAACCCTCATGTCCTCGCTCGAGATGATGAGTTTATCCATTAAGATGGCATAAGATGTTATTTCATTCCAATAAGCATGGTAGCATTGCTCAAGGGCAATGAGGTTCCTGAACAATGATTCAGTCAGTTCTCCAATTGCTAATTGTGGAATTGTGAAATCCCCTTTTTCAAAATTCATCATCATTATACTTTGAGCAGGCTTGGTGCGTTTAAATTTGATGCCTGCCTTTGAGAGAGCTGTCGCGCGATGCATTACGTGTAGCTTCAAGTGGTGGCCTTTAGATTTACCTTTGAGTGGGAAAACGATGGAAGTTCTTATAAGGTGAAGTATGTGCAGGATCTTATCAACACCATTGTCCTTATCGCCGCTATCAATCTTGTTTATATAGGAATTGCAACTATGGTGCAGTGGCCGTAGTGTGGAGAGGCTAACAAGAACAAGCCTAGGGAGGGGGGCTGGGTATATTCCAGGGTACTTGTCAACTGTGACGTTATATATACTCTCGATCACAAACCAAGGTATCTGATTTTCTAGTAGCAGAAGGTCATGGCACACATATTGGAACATGCAAGGGACGCCAAATACTGGATCAATATCGCTAGGATCGCTAATGTCTTTTTTACTTTGACCATTCAGAGACTTTCGGAAAAGTTGTATCATGAAGCAAGCATCCAGTACCATCATTTCAACGAAGCATTTGGAGCTCAAATGCTCCAGTGGTTCTGCATAAAAAGCTCGGGCTCGTTTTTCAAACTCCACGGTGCCTTCCTTTCCGATAACAGAAGACTTGATGACAAATCCAATCAACGTTTCCAAATCTATTTTCATGTGAGAGAGAAGCTCTTGCAAATACCTCCGCTTCACTTTTTCCATGGGTTCAAATTGTTCGCCGCCTGTAGCATGGTAGGGGCCAATTGAGACGACGTCAGGTGTATATGCCGCTTCCTTTTGTCTCCGAAGCACCTGGGGAACTTTGAAGATGCTGCTGTTGCTGCTGCTGTCGCCATGATAATCTATTATTCCAACACAAGTATGATTTCTACTACTTTCTCCAGCATTTCCTGCCATGATTAAATTACGCTTCCAATCGAACAAACTGTGTCCAAAGGCTGAAGCAAGTTGGAGCTAATGGCTTCAAATTAAAAATCATAACAAGTTGCAACGACTCGAGATAGATAAACTTTAATCTTCTACATACGCACATAATGGCTACAGAATACGAGATCAATTTCTTATATAATCTCCAATGTGCAGTATATCTTCTACATAGGTACATAATGGCTACAGAATGATCAATGATATTTTATTTTTACCAAACACCTTAAACTACTTAACTTTAAGGTAAAGCAGATTTTTTGTGAAAAAAAAAAAACCCAAACAGGGCTGACTGGTGTCCACGTAAGCAACCTTGCTTAATCTTTTGACAGAGTCAGCACACCTTTCACCATTACTTTCGTAAGAGACTTTTATCTCAAGTGGTTAATCGGTTAAATTCAAAAAATAAAAAATTATTGTGACTTAAACCTAAAGCAAATGTATTTTGTGGTCCTTAGCCTAATTTTACATGATACTTTTGCACCCAACGTTTTTGCCACTTACCAACTATCATGCTTCATATGTTTTTTATTTATTTTAATTTTAAACATTACCATATGAACGCTAACCTTTTATAGCGAAATAACTAAAATATTCATTTCCATATTTATATTAACAAAAATACTGTAATTTGGGACATCGCATAAAAAAGAAAAGAAGAAACTGTAGTTTGATCCGATCAAGAAGCTAAAATACAATTGGAAAGGTCAAAAAATGAAAATGAAAAAGACATAATTTTCTCAATTTATCATCCTATACTCAACTGTAGTATGAAAGTGCACGGTTAAGAGCATTGGATTGTAAAATTTAAAACTTAATTGAATTGGATCTCAACTTTGAACCCCTAAAATAAAAGGAGATTCACTATTATACCCAATATAGGGGCCCAAAGCTCATTTACGAAATGGACTTTAGAAATACACTCAAAACTCATTTACGACATAACAAAGAGGCTTAGAATTTCTTATAAATTACAAAACTGTCACCGAATTCTTAAAACAAGCCCAACCCCAAAACTTCATAAAAAGAACCCAAAACACTTCATAGGGCATCAAAGTAATTTAATAATCAAAATTAAATTCAATATGGTTAATTGTCATTTTTTGGGTTTGTTTATAGAAATTAAATAGTGTAAGGGTTTATCTATATCACTAGTGCTAAGAATGGATATATAACTAAATATCTTTAAAATAAATCCATAGAAATTCACACACACCCACAATTAACAATGGCATAAAAATAAAAAAATGAAAAAACAGTGGCATCGTAATATTTCTTCAAATAAAACTTTTAAAGAAAATTGTGACAACAGAAAGTAGCAAAGCAAGGAAAGAGCGCAAGAATTGCACCTTAATTAGGGAAGAGCGAGAGTGCAGAACTCAACTAGAAACTGATAAGCCTCTGAGGTAAAGAAAATTGTTGAAGTAGTTCATCTTTTTATAGACTCGTAAGTCAACGTAAAACTGATGTTTTTATTTCTTTCACGCCATGTAGAGTTAACAGCGCTTTCCTTTTGTCTTTTGGGATCATTGTACGCAAACAAAAAGCCAACTTAAATTTGTTTTTAAATGTTTTAACTAGAAGGGTGTCCAGATTGTTCATTTCTATGTTGCTTTTAAAACCCATCTACGAAAGAAAAACCAACCTAATTTTTGGTCATACATGTTAACACTGCAATACGAATCAACATGACCAATAATACAAATTCACAGTCTAGCACCTTCGATTATGATTTTCTTGCGTTTATGCGCTACTATGACGTACTGCAAAAAAATAAAATAAAAAAACGCTCATTACTTTTCACGTCTTACTCAATTCATATCTCATTTAACTATGAATTTATTAGATACATCAACCTGGGTGGCGGAACCTCCCGCCATCCTTCTTGATGTGCCCTTAGAAAATACTATGTAATGCCTCTTTTTCATCAATAAAATTGCCTCTACTTCAAAAAAAAACAAAAATTCGTAACTCAATCAATGAATCCCACCAAAATTGTCAATGGAGTCTAACCCAATGGAAAAGGACATTGATTTGCATACCAGATGTCTCAAGTTTAAATCATCATGGCATTTTAGTTGGGTGTGTGTGGAAAACCCTCATTGCCTGTAATTTAGACTATCACTTGTACTTAAAAAAAAAAAAAAATGAGTCCCACCCAAATTGACAAATATTGGTCATCCTAGAGTGCTTTTGTATATATTTTGTAGAAGACTCCCGCTGTCATGGTTTTGGTTGTTGCCTATATCAAGGGAATTAATATAATTATACGATTTGTTTGTATGCAATGGAATCTGCGACTTGTTAATTATATAATAAGGAGACCTACATTAATCTTTAGCATACCATGTCATGTGTTTATTAAGGCATGCGCGCCATCGTGGTTTCCGATTGTAATTGTTTTTTCTTTCTTATAAAAAAAGATCATGTGTTTGAAAAAGTTAAGTAATTATACAATAAGGCGACTTGTTAATTATATAATAAGGAGACCTACGTTAAAAAAAAATTAAGTAATTATATAATAAGGCGACTTATGTTATAATTAGGAGATCTACCTGACTTCGTCTCTACATGGCCGCCTCATTAAAATTCCATCTCTTTCCGATGGGGTCGACGATGTTCAAGGGGCGGCTGGGTGTGAAGTCTAAGTCAGAAAAACAAAGATTTTTTTATTACTTACTTTTGTTTTTCAATATATCACATCATAGTTACGTTTTTGCACTGCGTCATAGTTATATTTTTGCATTGCGTCAGAGACTAGTTTAACAACTCACTAACATTAATCCAACATTTTTTCCCTTTCTTTTTCTCCGTATGTATGTTATTGTATACCAAGTGGTAACATGAATTTTATTTTTAATCCTTCGATGGAAGAAATATGACTAAAAAAGTACCGATCCAAATCAACAGAAAAAAATCAACTAAAAAACTAATCTATATATATAAAGTAAAAGGCAGAGAATGGTAAAATATTCAAAATACCAAAAAATGCCCTTAGTTAATGCAAACATTAAAAATCAAAATTATTAATTAAATAAGAATAATATGGTAAATTCACACTTTTTCATATTTAAAAAATAAAAATTTTAAAAAATTATCAGATAATGGATCCTATTTTTATGGAACACAACTACCCATTATCTTTCTTAATTCTAAAATAATTTTAAATTTTTTTTAAAAAAAAGCCTTTCGCAGACGCGGAAGTGCGTCCGAAGAGGCTAATAAAATCTAAAATAAGATAAAAAGAGATAGCGGTAGAATTTAAGCGTATTAGCACGTGTAAGGTGTTTAAGTTTATTTCCCCAAAAAAAAAAGGGTGTTTAAGTAATTATATAATAAGGCGACTTGTTAATTATATACTAAGGAGACCTACGTTAATTATTAGCATACCATGTCATGTGTGAAATTAAGTAATTATATAATAAGGCGACTTGTTAATTATATACTAAGGAGACCTACGTTAATCATTAGCATACCATGTCATGTGTGAAATTAAGTAATTATATAATAAGGTGACTTATTAATTATATTGGAAGGAGACTTATGTTATAATAAGGAGATCCACCTAACTTCGTTTCTACACATGCCACCTTGTTAAAATTCCATCTCTTTCCGATGGGGTCGATGTTCAAGGGGCAGCTGGGTGTGAAGCCCAAGTTAGAAAAACAAAGATTTTTTTATATTACTTTCTTTTGTTTTTCAATACATTAAAAAGATTTTATTAATCTTTTGTTTTTCAATATATTACATCATCATAGTTATGTTTTTGCACTACGTCATAGTTATATTTTTGCATTACGTCATAGACTAGTTTAACAACTCACTAGCCTTTCCGGACGCGCTTCCGCTCCTGAGAGGCTTTTTTAAAAACAATTTATATTTATTTTACAATTAAAAAAGATAATGGGTAGTTGTGTTCCATAAAAATATGATCAATTATCTGATTTCTATTTTAATGTTTTTTTTTAAATATGAAAAATGTGAATTTACCATATTATCCAAGGGCATTTTGAACCTTTTTTTTTAATTAATAATTTCAATTTTTAATGTTTGCATTAACCAATGGCATTTTCTGGTATTTTGAATGTTTTACCATTCTCTGCCTTTTGCTTTATATATACTAGCCTCTCCGCACGGGCTTCCGCGCATGCGAGAGGCTTTTTTTGTTAAAAAAATTAAATTGATTTTAGAATTAAAAAAAGATAATGGGTAATTGTGTTCCATAAAAATAAGATCAATTATCTGATTTTTATTTTTATTTTTATTTTTTTTAATATAAAAAAGTGTGAATTTACCATATTATCCTCATTTAATTAATAATTTCAATTCTTAATGTTTGCATTAACGAAGGACGTTTTCTGGTATTTTAAATGTTTCACCATTCTCTTCCTTTTGCTTTATATATATAGATATAGATTAATATATTTTTGCATTACGTCGTAGTTATATTTTTCGCATTGCGTCATATATTTTTGTTTTTGCACTTGGTATGTAATTGTATACCAAGTGGTAACATGAATTTTATTTTTAATCATTCGACGGAATCCAACAAAAATAAAATAAAAATCATTCGATGGACGAAATATGACTAAAAAACTACCGATCTAAATCAATAAAAAAATAATCAACTGAAAAACTAATAAATAAATAAATAAAAAGAGATGACCGCAAAGTTAAAGTTCCATATTACTTAAGCTAGAACAATCCCCACCTTAAAACATATGGATTTTACTTGTGGTGGAAAATCAAATCAGTCCGGTCTCTCGAAAAATACAAAATAAAACAAAATGAAATGAATGAAAACTAGCAGTTCCGATCTCTTGGACCAATGGAGTCCAAGAGATTGTGGTCACCCACCGTTGGATATTAATCCAATGGTTCAAAAAAGTTTCTTAAAAGGAGTGCAAGAGTGAATGAACCGTTGAATTTACATCCAACGGTGAGTGACCACAAATCTCTTGGACCCCTGTAGTCCAAGAGATCGGGACTGTGAAAACTAGATTACATAAAAAAGTTCAAAGTTTTGACTTCTCAAATAGTTAAAAAAAAGTACTTACTTTTACAGCCAAGGTCATGCCTTCAATTCCTACCTCCTCTATTGTCACTTGTACTAAAAGAAATAGAAAGCCTAACTTTTGTTTGTTAATCACGTACGTTTTGGTCCATATTGACATATGAAATTAGAAATGTGTTGTCTCAATTAGTACTATAAATGATCAATTGATTTTTTGTTGATGGAAAATAACAATCAAAATAAAATATAGAGATATTTAGTCATATACCCATTTTTAGCACTAATGATATAGATAAGTCATCCACCATTTAATTTCTATAAACAAACCCAAAAAAAACCTAAAACATGACAACTGGCTAATTTTGATTATTAAATTTCTTTGATGCCCTATTGAGTGTTTTTGGATTTTTTTTTAATGAGGTTTTGGGATTATTGGTCTTGTTTTAAGAAATCGATGGCAGTTTTGTAATTTTTAAGAAGTTAAAAGCTTCTTTGTTATATTATAATTTGGGTGTGTTTCTAAAGTCCATTTCATATAGGGTTTTTTTTTTGTTTTAATAATTTGGGCTCCTATATTGTGTATAATAGTGAATCTCCCTAGAATATATAGTGAACCACCTATTTTTATACTGTTTAATATGGGACTAATTCAATCCATATACATCGCTTTTATCAATCCACACAACCCTAACGATTCCCACTTGGCAAAATCCAAGCCGGGCTAATCGTCCATTATACCCCTACAACTTCAAGCATTAAGTCCCTATTTGGTTCACCGAACGAATTTGAGAGGAAATCATTTCACATATCATTTTCCAAGGGATGAGAAATGGAAGATTCATTTTCCATGTTTGGTAATTCTGGGAAAGTAACCGGGAGATATCACTTTATTTCCTATCCCATGTTTGTTTTGAGAGGAAAACAAAGTTTGTAATTTTCCAATTATACCCATATTAAATCAAAAAAAAAAAATTGCATTTAATGATATATTGTAATTCTAAATTATTGACGGGTACAAAATGGTCATGAAAAATGTGCATTTAATGTTGGCCTATTTTCCCAAAGTTTCCCATGGGAAGGGCAAAATGAAACCCAAGGGGGGATGAGGGTTACATTTCCTACTCCAATAAATATTAGTCCACTATACCAAATAAATATAATAAACTAATAATAGCCCAATTTAAGTAAAGTAAATAATAGCTTTATTTAAAATAAGCCCACTCCTAACGCATATATGAAATAATAAACATCAATCCAAACCTATATAAATTCGATTAGAAGCAGAACTCACGCTAAGGCTCTACCAACTTGACCTATTCTAATCATATTGATATTGGGCTACACCCACAGAGAGCAAACATAAAAAAAATTCTTCTAGAGCCACCCAAAGCGCCATATTTGAACCTTGTTGAGAGCTTAGAGGAAATAGTTCTCCTCCTCTAAAAAATTGTACCAACCTATCTTCAATGGGTTCTTCAATCTTGGTAAGTTTTTCTTTTTTTTATTTATATATATTCAATTTCCAATTTTAATTGTTGTTGTTAAGTTTTTATGATTTAGGGTTTGGGTGAATTTTTTTTGGAGATTGTTGATATATGTTTTATTTTTGCAACTTGAATTTATTTATATATATTCAATTTCCAATTTTAATTGTTGTTGTTAAGTTTTTTGGACAATGTGTTTGATTTGATATTTATTTATATTTTGTGCTTTTTTGTGTTATATTTGCTTGTAATGTGACTTTGTTTGATTTATAAAATTTTATTTACATTTTTATTTCAATATAAAAAAAAGGCTTATAATATATCTCCTCTCCAAAAAAAAAAAAATATTTAGCCTACCCTTATAAAAATTCCTGGATCCGCCATTGATTATAAATACAACCCAAAATTTCTCCCAAAAAAAAAACATACGCCGAAAAGAAAGGGAAAATAGGTTGAATGCTATAATTAGTTGTTAAACTATGACGTAGTGCAAAAAATAAGATAAAAAAGAGACTCATTACTTTTCGGGTCTTACTCAATACATAAAAATCCATAGCTCACTCAATCAATGAATCCCACCCAAATTGACAAATATTGGTCATCCTAGAGTACTTTTGAATATATTTTGCAGAAGACTCCAGCTGTCATAAAAGGTTTTGGTTATTGCCTGCATCAAGGGAATATAATTATACGATTTGTTTGTATCCAATGGAATCTGCGACTTGTTAATTATATAATAAGAAGACTTACATTATCATTCGCATACTATATCATGTTTTTGAAATTAATTAAGTAATAGTTACTTGGTAGATATGGGCTTAGCTAAGTTGGCTAGAGTGGATGTGCTCCTCACTTTGCACCCAAGTTCGAATCTCCCTCCTTGTAGTTTAGATCAAAATAGAATATCACCTGTATCGAGAAATAAAACAAGTAAGACCTACTCTACACATGTCACCTCGTTAAAATTTCATCTATAATACTTCAAAATAAAAATAAAAAAGTGTTTTTACAAGCCAATAGGGTCCCAGGTGCAGATGATTATCTTATAAATAGGGCAATGAGCAGGCATCAAACTCACTGCACGACATTAATTACAAGCCTTAAGAATAAGTAATTAGCTCTAAGCCCACCTCCAAAATCCAAGTGCTAATTCTTGATTAGTCTTGATCATCATGCTACGCGTGGAGTGTGATCGGACCCTGTTTACCAGGCCTCATGTGCCCTTGCAGACAATGCAATATGTTTCGCCCGCAGCCATGACGTACCCTAAGAACAAGGAGTGGAACTTGAAGGGTAATTCTATAGCAGCCGCCAGGAATCGAACAGGTTTCGAAAGGCGGAGGATAATGGCATGCGTATCCAAACCCCGTCCTGAATGTACGGGGGTTTTCAAGGGCCTGATTTGTCCCAAGTATAGTGTGCTTCCCATACTTACTGATGGTTCTGCTAAAACCCAGGTTTGCTAGCAGCTTATGTGTGCCCACATTAATTATTTGCGGATGTTATTAACTTATGGCTTATAATGAAACATAACTTATTCAATTGTACATTTCTTTTTGCGATCTCTCTCTTTGTTTGAATCAAACAGGTTGACATCGATGTGCTAAAGTGGAAGAATGTGTTTTTGTTCTTTTCGGGACTGGACATTTCTGATGGTGATATTTCGATTCTCAAAGGACTTCATGATGAGGGAATGAAAAGACAACAAATGTATAAGGTTGTGTGGATCCCCGTCGTGGAGCAGTGGACTCCGCAACTACATAAGGACTTTGAGAATTTGAGGTCGGAGATGCCATGGTACACAGCGCAGTGTCTTTTACCCATCCTAGGTATCAAGGAAAAGTGGCACTTCAAGGGTAAGCCTATCTTAGCGGTGATGAACTCGCAAGGCGAAGTGAAAAACACGAATGCTCTCCCCTCGATTCGGAAGGATGGAATGAAGGATTTTCCTTTCCACGAGGAGCTCAAGAAACAAAAGAGTTATTTGAGACAGTTTTTCGAATCTTAATTATCAACATATATATAGAAGTGGACTTCATAACATAGGAAGAATTTGATAAGAAAAATAAAAGCAGATAAGGAGCTTTCAACTTCTTGTCTAGTTAACTCAAGCTTTTCCTTTCTAGTTTGAATAAGCGCGTTTCTTCTTTATTTTGGGTAAGCAGGTGCTGTTCCCTGTACCTTGAAGTTGCAATCGGTGGTTCTTAGTTTATTTAGGAGTGCTCTTACTTTTGAGATGGATATGTATTGGGTGGAAGAAGAAACCACTTTGGTTCCTTTCTTTCTTCTCATCCAGAATCAATGTGGATGTATATAAAATATTAATATCAATATTTTGAGAATAAATATACCCCGATCTCTTGGACCACAAGAGTCCAAGAAATTGTGGTCACCTAGCGTTGGATATTAATCCAATGAGATGGATATGTATTGGGTGGAAGAAGAAACCACTTTGGTTCCTTTCTTTCTTCTCATCCAGAATCAATGTGGATGTATATCAAATATTAATATCAATATTTTGAGAATAAATATATATATATGTATGCGTTTTAAATGACTGCTAGTTCTATTTGAATTCTGTTCCTCCGCTTGGAGAGGTGACTTTATTTTTAAATGTCTAATAAACACTCAACAACTATTGTTAACAAACCAGGACAAGTCTACTAATATTATATGGGAATATATACACCTGCTTTCTTTCGACCCAAAAAAAGTCTAGCTTTCTTACTTTTCTTTTTTTGTGAATAAAGTCCAGCTCAGTGCTGATGTGGTTCGATTTCGACGTACGGTTTTTATATAGCCCAACCAAACACACATGGAGTGGCACCACAGTGGAAAAGTGGGCCAAACTCGTTCCCCCATTTCTTTTATTTAAGTGCACTAGTACTTGGGTTCACATAGGACGGTAGGAGACAATCTTGACTAATACTTCCTCCTCCCCCCTCTTTAGCAAATAACAAAAAAAAAAAAAAATCTCAACCGAACTAAATCAAATTTATTCCAACTTTGTGTTTGCAAAGCTTTTACTTCAGAAATTTGTGTTTTTGTCATCTGGTTGTCACAAATTCATAATTTTTGTTTTTATTTTTCATTGATATACGAGTCGTATAACTATGAGACTATTGGGTGTAGTCACCAAGGTCTTGAATTACTACCTGTGTCGTTGAAAACACAAAAGGACAAATGGGAAATTCGGCACAAATTGGAAATTCGGCACAAATTACTCTTCTAGCTTCCGCTTTCTGCGTGATGCTTACAATTCATTTCAAGTTCAGAATATTGTTCCTGTAGAGGATAGTACATATTAGACCAAGCTGAAAAGTGAGTTTCTGCATATCTCTAACATTGCAAAAAGTAGTAGAACACTCAGGGCCATATTACTTGCAATATGCTCATATTAATTCCAATTTTAATAAAAAGCACCATGTTGCAGAGTGCTGAAATTACGATTTACGACAACACAAACTATAGAGAATATGTTTTGGTAAGAATTAATGACACAACAGAAGTTATAAGTAAAAGGGTTCACGAATCCTTGATAAAATTCTGGAACACCAGAGATTTGAGAAAAGCTCTCAATTTTCTATAGAATAATAATGTGAAAGTTAACAAAATATACAATCCTAAAATTGTTTAAATAGTCTTTGCAAACCTTAATGAAATAGGTAATAGAAAAGGAAAAAGGAAAGAAACTCTTAAAAGAACAAGGAAAAAACTATTAAAATAATTAAAATGACTAAATCCTGCTGTGAAGCCTCCTAACGTACCCTTCCAGCCCTACGTCAATTAATGACAAAAAAGAGAGGGGGAAACTCAAGCAATCTTTTGATTAGGGTTGAATATAATGAGTATGATGTACTTATGAAAATTATATTTGTTTTACAATTCCATATATTCTTTTTTGTCATTTTATATTATGGTAAATTAGTACTCAGTTAATTTTAAAGTTTGTTTAGCAGCACTTAAGCCGTAACTATTGTTAAGAATCAATGAAAATAAAACGGAAACCCATTAAAAACGTTTACTATTGTCAAAAATTGGAATCAAAACCAATTTGATTACCAAAATATATACCATTGCACAAAACAAATTCTATTTTGTTTGGTGCAACTACTTACACAATTTTTCAACTCACAAATTAAACCGATGGGATTAGTTTAGTTTGTTTGGCAGGTTTGAACAGTACTTGGGCCCTTTTTTCCCACAGTTACGCTAGTGTGATAAAACCCGAAATTCTCTGGCGCCAAAATTCAAACACTTTCGCATCACACACTCGCAATATGTAGTTGGAGGACTCGCAGTCACAGCACCTCCAACGCTACCAAACATCAGAAGATGACTATGCTTCAAAATCAGCAAGCGGCTCCATCTGCTTGCTCTGCTTCTTTTCAGTCCTCAATCTCCCACCGTCCACGTGTCCTACGCTCTCTCTGCCATCTCTGACCCTCTTCTTCGTCTCGCTTCTCGTTCAAGGTCTCTCTTCCTTCCACGACGACCTCATCGCACGACAAGTTGTTGATCTCATTTCCGCTCTCTGCGCTTCCGTTGATGCTTCGCTCTGAGCTGACTTCGTTGCTAGGGTTTCCGATTGCCTCTCGTCCGATCCGTTGGCCTTGAATCGCCGTCAGATTATATGGTATTTCCATCCTCCGCATTTATCAATTCTCTACTTGTATATTTGTGCATTTCGGAATCGATTTTGAGATTTAGATTAAAATTTGCGGTAATGATTTGTTTTTTCTGTTTGCTTCTTAAGAAAATGTAGGAAAGTGTTATGATTTTTTATGTTTTTAGGTAATCAAACAGTGCATGATTGGTTAGGGTTGGACGAATTCGGTGAAATCGAACTTGGTTCTACTGTTTCTCAAATTGAACCTGTGTTCGTTTTTTTTTGTTGGAGAAATTATAAACCAATTTTGAAATTTTAGACAAATACTTTTGGTAATGCTTTATTTCCTATTTGATTCTTGAGAAAATGAAGGAAAACTGTGAAATTAATTTTGTATTTTTCAGTAATCAAACAATGTATGATTTCAGTATAATCGCACTAGATTTACTGCTTCTCATGGCTTGTTAATTAACTGTGGTACAACTACAGTATAATTGAAGGATTGTTAATTAAACCTGAAATTGCCTTATAATAAAAAGGAGGATGAGTTAGTGTTCCGTTGAGATCCTCGAATAGTTTGTCCTGTTTCTTTAGATTTAGATTTCTCTACCTTATGCAAGTTCCCATTGAACACCAATCAGATTTTAGTGTATTTTATTTTAAGCACTGACAAGAATTTGAAACTCAAATTTTGGTATACCTGAAATTCTCTTATCCTTGTATTTTTGGTTACATTTTTTGCCCTTGCATATCGAATTTTCTCGTCATCATGGAAAGATTAAAAAGGGAAAAGACGAGAAGGGCAATTCGTGAATCAGCATGACCTTGTTTATCTGCAAATTTTATGGCTAGGATTTAGAGTATACAGCGAAGTCTCAATAGATTAATATGCATATATGATCTATGCACCCACTGACTTCTAATAACGAAAAACTTTTCAACAGTATCTTTAAAACTTACATCTTATTGATCTTAAAACATATATATCCCTGATAATAATTTTATCACTGATATGTACAGTGATGAGGCTAGTGTATCATTATGGTCTTTATAGGGATATCGCAAAGGTTAGCCACCAAATACCCTACATTCCAGAAGCTGAGTCCTGTTTGAGATTTTAAGTGAAAATGAATGGGATTTGCCTTCTGCAAGAATTCATCCAATAGCATTGAAATGGTTGTTTCAACAAGAGAAAATCAAGAGGCCATTGTCTTATCATCTTTAGAAATTTTGTGGAAGGAATATAGCAAATGGCTCTGACATCATCGTCCATGGAAAGAAGAGTGTCATATGGTAAATGTTAATTCAATTGCAGAGTTAATAGCAGGAGAAATACTTTTTTGTTCTTATTGATAGGAATTCTGGAGAAAAGAAGGCCAACAAGCATGACATAATTTCTGAAGTGAATCTCATGGGAACTATTATTGACATATTTCCAACTGTTTCATACCAATGATGCTTGCGTGGTATTGGGAATGCTTTCCACAATCTTTATTGTATATCAACATATACACAGTCCCCACAGATATCACAGCATTCTTAGTTTTAATTTTTAAACTTTATGCTCAGTGCACCATGGAACTCTTTCTCATGATGACTCTTGGCTTGCAGCGACTATGACGGTGAGTAACTTAATTTTGCTGATTCCAGCTTTGCTTGCTGCCACAGGAATTTAATCAGAAAGGTTGTCTTCTTTTGTAGTTAATTATCCCTACGAGCTGCAGACGGGTAGTATCATGAATGTCTCTTAGTAATTGGCATTTTTTTTCCTTAATTTTTAACCATTATGCGGATCAAGTGCTCATTGTAGCTTTAAAACCATTATTTTCAGGTTTTATAAGGTGTGGAGAAGTCTTACTATTGGTGCTTCTTATAAATTACTGCTCGTTAAGAAGGTTAGTTCATCCTATTAAATTCAACCAACCATATACAATTGCATTTTTTTTTTGAATCTACTGCCACATTGGATGCTGCCAATTTCCTTTATTTGAATCTGCTGCCATGACCTATGCAGTCTTAATATTGGTTGCTTCATCATACCTGTTGGAGTTGTTTACCAGAATATCTAAGAGGAATAGAACTAGGGAGGAATTGATATGCACCATAGATTATTACCTAATGTCTGTAGTGGCTGACCTAGAAGGCCTAATTCTCTACAGTGCCTCATAGTGGCTATGAATTGTGGCCTCTGCCTATCAATGATCTTGGGGTGGGAATTTCCAATGCAAGGGACAAATGTGAGTTCAAAGAATTATTGGAGTTGGATGATTGTGGAAAACCTTGTAAGTGTCTCTAGCCGTCCTATGCTTAGCATCAAAATCTTTCAATAATCTTCACAAGCCTACAAATCATGTAATAGTCACATTGTTAAAACTGCATAAGGTTCCTGAGTGGATGAGATCTGTACTTGATGATTCTTGCACCAAATTATTTGAGCACGCAAATTCTACTTTTATTTTGAGCTCTATTGAATTCTTAAAGACGGAACAAATTGCTAGTGTAAATCAGTTGCTCCATGTGACCATTTCTATGTCTTGCAATTTGTGTTCCCTTGGTTTTTGTTCTTGTCTAGTGGGCACGTTAAAGGATTCAATTGAAGCTTTCCTTGCTTTTCTTTTTTTGTTAAACTCCAAACGTAACAATGAGTCAGTGTACTTTTGTCCAGTTGGTTTTAGAATGAAAACTGGCTGAAGATTTCCTTAAATTTCCACCCTTTGTCATTCCAGTCATGCTTGAGGATTTAGAAGTCGAATAGCAAGGAAGTGCGATTAACAGAGAGATAATGCAGCTATTTTATACATTGCAGGTGTGCATAAAACAAAAGTACACTGCCAACAGTCAAAATGAAAGTGCAGAAGAGCATAAAAGGAAGGTGGTGGTCACTATCTTGTACAATTCAGGAGAAGTTTGTGAGTATTTCATTCATGATGTCATCTGAGTCATCTCTATATACTAGACAGGGATTCTGGAGGATTAGATTGTTGGGATAAGAGATTGTTAGAAGAAATAGATCTTTTCTTTAATACTTTTACAGTAACAGATGGCAGCTAAGAAAATCATATTAGTGGTTCACAGAGTGAAAGCTCCTGCAGTTATTGCCTTTGTGATCATTCAGAATAGCTGAAAACTGAAAATGCATTGGAAAGGGCTGACTTTTTTTATAATCTTTGATTCTTGTCCAGAAAGTTTGTGCCTTTAACAGTTATCGTGTTAGTCACTGTAACCTTGGTTCCCATCAAACCTAGATTGTCAATTTTCAAATTACCCCCACCAAAGTTTTGATCCCTTGGCTTATCTGCATCTTCACCACCTTCAAAAAGCCCTGCTACTGATTCCTCTGCTCTGCCTTCATTCAGGATGAAAGCCATGGTTGCCCGCTCTTGTGAAAATCCCATTGCCACAAGCTGTTGGGCAAGTGCTTCTAGCTTTCTTGACATGAGATAACCACTACATTGTTCATGCAACTCCTGAGCTCACCGCTCTTTCTGTCATTGATGCTTCCTCTCATTCTTCTGACGGATTTTCTCTCGCTTTTCATTGTCAGCTCCCAGTACTGCTTCCTGCTTGGTAGGAGGATTAGATGCCTTGTCTTTATGGTCTTCTGACTCACCTGACCAGCTACCATTATTGGAAACGGAATCATACTCTGCTCCAGCAGCAACCGAGCTCCCAGAATGGTCATCTGTTTCATCTGTGTTGCGGAAACGACTATTACGGTGAAGAGGTGATGCAGAGGATGTTGGTGACAATTCAAGGGTATGGAATGTTCCTAAAAGTGGATTGTATGCACTAGCTGGGATCCCACTACTTGCATTAGCAGGCCCCATTGAAGGCTTTAAAGAAGGTGTCTGGGCTTATTATGAGAGTCAGAGCCAGTCAAATATATAAGTCCATGGAGATTGGAGTAACCTGACATATCTGAATTTGAGGGATTTGGTTAGTCATGATATATTATCTTTATCACTTTCTAATTTATGCAAAAATTAAAATGAAATCCTAGAAATAATATGTTTTCAGTTTTTACCGACTGGAAGGCAACATAAAAAATTGCCCGAAGGTAGGGCCCATCTTAGTGGTGAAGTGAGATGGAGGCCTCTCTCTCTCATTACATGATCTTGAAATTATCACACTAATAGAATGTTGCAATTATCATATTTATAGGATGAAACAAAGTAAATGATCACATGTACAGGATGGAACAAAGTAGTTAGGTGTTAACTGAAGTTTACATAAGAGAGAAACACACAATAACAATTGACATCAAATTGTAAGTTGCTTAGCACACTACATTTTTACGATAACTCGTAGGCTGTAGATTTGAGTTTCTTCATAGTTAAGTGTTACCATTTTTCTACATTTTTGTGAAATTACCATTAAAATTTCATTGTGATATAGCATTAACTAGTTCAATAAAATTTTGTATCTCAAAAGAAAAAGATTATGAACAAGAGCATAGGATTTTATAAGATTATGAAAAAGAATAAAATTTCTTTTGAGATATGAAATTTTATTGAACTAATTAATGCTATACGACAATGAAACTTTAATGGTAATTTCACAAAAATGTAGAAAAATGGTAACACTTAACTATGAAGAAACTCAAATCTACAGTCTACGAGTTACCATAAAAATGTAGTGTGCTGAGCAACTTACAATTTGACGTCAATTGTTATTGTGTGTTTCTCTCTTATGTAAATTTCAGTTAACACCTAACTACTTTGTTCCATCCTGTACATGTGATCATTTACTTTGTTTCATCCCATAAATATGATATTTCCAACATTCTGTTAGTGTGATAATTTCAAGATCAAGTAATGTGAGAGAGAGGCCTCCATCTCATTTCACCACTAAGGTGGACCCTACCTTTGGGCAATTTTTTAGCTGAAAATTTTTTGAATATTTTTTCAATAAATACCTACCAAAATTTTAAAACTTGAATTTTTTCAGTTTAAAAAAATTAAAGTGAATTGTATTTGCTATGGTAATGGGTGGAAATACAACAAGCCTTGAAAAGCTGATACTATTCATGTAAATAGTAACAGTCATTGCCTCACTCTTGCCCTTTTTCAGGGCAAATTGGTGGAAGTGCTCTAATTTAGACAGTTTGGTGCGAAATGACAAGAACTTCGAAAACTCGTTGTTGTGAAGTAAGGGTGTAAAATAAATATCACATAAGTTAATAAAAATAAATGAAGAAGTGAGGGTAAAAGTGTGAATTGATATGAAATAAGAATAATTTGTTGTGTACTTTTTTTTTGGCAAAACAATCTTGTGTACTTATTATTGGCAAAATAATTTATTGCGTTTATGAAAATTTATTAATTAATAGTAGGAGAAGCAGAAAAGTGTTTGGTTTAAGGGGTTTTTAGTAATCATATTGGGGTTTATTCCAATTCTTTAAGGTGGTTTAAGGGGTTTTTAGTAATCATATTGGGGTTTATTCCAATTCTTTAAGGTTAATAAATATTGTAACGAAAATGAACTTTATTCTTATTTTGGTTGAAAACATTTAATAAACACGCTAAGGCTGCGTTTGGTTCATGGGAAAGGAATCTTGGGGATGGGAAACCAATTGCTTTCCCATGTTTGGTAAGTCAGGCATGGGAAAGCGTTGCCTAGCACATGGGAAAGTAGGAGGGAAAGTGAATCCTTCCTTCCTACTTGGGTTTCACTTTCCCTTCCCATGGGAAAGTAAGACTAACTTTTTTTTGACTAATTTGTCCTTACTAACAATTCATAATTACACTTTTTATCCAACAATTATTGGTATTTTTTTATTACTTTAATAAGGATACAATTGGGAAACTAAACAAAATTTGTTTTCCATTTCTACTCAAAACAAACATGGGAAAGGAATCACCATTTCCCATCCCTTGGGAAATGACATGGGAAATGATTTCCCATTAAATTTATTCCGTGAACCAAACGGGGCCTAAGGGACAATCAGACTCTGATTCCTTCCTATTATAATTTATCCTTGTTCCAATTCCTTCACAATACTATTGGTTCTTGCTCCAATTCCTTCACAGCCTGATTCATTATTGCTTCGATTCCTTCGTACTTCTAATTCTTTTTCATTCCCATTCTAAGTATATAAACCAGTCCATTCCTTCAGACAAAAAAGAAAAAGTCATGCCATCGCTCATATACCCTCATAACATTTTACTATATTTAAAAGGATGTGACTATTTGAACTCCTATTTTTTAAAGGAAAAAAAAATTTCAACGTACCTCCTTTAATAAAAGGGGAGAAAAAAAGGATGTAAAGTAAAATAAGTGGCAACAAGTTTTATTTTTTAATTTTTAAGAAAGGGTAAAATTGTGAATTAGGCTTAGTAGTTGCGTGGAATGAAGCAAATTGGCGCTCACTTGAGCGCGAATAGTTTGAACCATAATCGTTGCAAAGAAGAGAGGGCAAAAGTGTAAATATATAGACAAACGCGGTTTACTTTAGGTTGGGCAGTGGGCAGTGAGTAGTAGAGACCACCTAGAGACGTGAAAGCTACACAACTGGTTTGCGAGAGAAGTGAAGAAGAGAATGAATTGGAGTTGTGGTACCGAGCTCGTTTGAGCATACTGGAGGTGTGGTGCTGAGTTATCTCTTTCGTTGAGCACATGAGAACTGATAAACACCATTTCTTTTGCCTGTTGCACTATCTTTTGTGTTGGGTCGGCCATGCAAGGTGGTGGATGACCATGTAGAGTGGTCGGTGCTCATTCACGGTGATTGGATTTGCCATGCAAGATGGCGGGCGACCATGCAAAGTGATCGGTGCTCATCCACGGTGGTCGTAATCTGGTTCATGTATCGACACATAATAATAATATAATATTATAAGATATTATGATATGACAACTTATCGCAGATATTAAGTTGAGATATTATACCTATATATTTATGTTTAGATATTATTTTATTGTAAAATCACTAAATGAGAGAAGAGATTTCTTATCTTTTTCGAATGGTCTTAGCACAAATGAGCATGGAATTGAGGAGATGGAAGGCACATGGTACTGATCATGCCTAGACAATTGGATGAGGCTGCCGACTGGGTGTTTGTATTTGGAGAGAAGCCACCAAGTCCAGCAATGGTGGGACCTATCTTGAAAAGTTTTGGCAGAGGAGACACATGGGTGTCTTCATAGTTGCTTGGCTGGAGCAACATGTTGGGTGTGTTGTGACAGAGAAGGGCATTCTTCATGCGTCACAAGTCTTGTTCAGACCAAGAGATGAGGGACTGCCTCCAATCAGAACAGATTTTTGGGTGGACCTCTTGGTTGCTCAAAATGCTTCACGGTCAATAACAAAATGGTGAGAACGACATAGATCTTTGTTGCGTTTCCCACCTACGGCGCCAAATGTTAACGGGTGAATTCGTATCTAACGGATTAAGACATAATCACACACATAACACAAATGTTTGAGTGGTTCACCCATAATGGGGCTACATCCACTATAGCTTATAACTTTGTATTTGTATTTGAATATGGAGATTAAATTGTACATGAGAGAGATATGGAGAGAGAGAGGCTTGAGAGCTCTAGTAGAAGAGAAATAGAAGGCTTGGGAGAGCTTTGGACGGCTCTTGGAGAAGTAAAGAAGTAGCAGCTGATCCCCTTGCTTGGAGGTGGTGAGCTCCCTTTTATAGTCCAAGTTGGAGTAGACAAAGGTTGATTGATGACTGGGTCCTTTTGCATGGCTCCCCTTAATTTAGGGTCTTGAGCATTGAGAAAGCACAGGAGTGGGCATGGCTAGTTACTCCTTATTTGATGGGATGTGACATATGACAAACAAGTGTTATCCCTTAATTGGTGGGATTTGCTTAAGGGGAAAGGTGAGGTCAACATGATATCAACACCATGTAAGGAAATATAATTCAAAATTGATCAAAACATTAAAGCACTCTAAAGATGAATAGAACAAAATTATAGCCAAAACAAAACGACAAAGGAAACAAGTACTGCATACAGATGCAAAAACAAGAAGAATTAGACTTTCAAGTACACTACAGTTTCTAGAAATTTTTTGTATGTTATAATCTTGACAGAAACAAAAATATCATGAAATAAATAATGGGCATAAAGATCTGGAGTTCCTCACCGTACTGGTCGGAGAAAAGCTCCTGGAAAAGCTCAGAGGCATTAACATTAGTGTCGATCGGCTCCGGCTCCCCGGTCTTAACCCTCCTCCACCGGATCTTGTCACTGCCAACGACGCGCCGTACGAAGTCACAACCACTTTGCCGTCGCGACCCTTGACTCAAGAGAGAGAAAGAACGGAGTCCCCTAGACTCATGAGATAGATATGATTTTGGCAAAGGCTCTTTAAAAAGGGTAAAATTGTATTTTATCTTTATAATTTAGACAGGCCCAACGAATATGGGCTTCCTTTTTGGCTAAATCCAAAACGAAATTTGATTCACATGTATGAAAACCCAAATTTGATTCACACGTTTGGCTAAACCCGAACAAAATTTGTATTTTATCAGATGCGATTGTCATGGTCAAATTGTGTTCAAGGTTCTGAAAATTTTCCCACGGCATATAAGGATGTTGAGGCAGATTCATTATTGCTTTGATTCCTTCATACTCCAGTTCTATTTTATTCCCATTCTAAGTACATAAACAAATCCATTCCTTCAGACAAATAACAAAAGTCCTGCCATCACTCATAAACCCTCGTAACATTTTGAGAAGGATGTGACTATTTGAACTCCTATTTTTTAAGGAAAAAAAAAATTTCAACGTACCTCCTTTAGAGCACTTCCAGCAGTTGCCCCTTGCCATGGCAAGGTGGGGACTAGGGCTGCCACTATTCATGTGAATAGTGGCTGCCCTAGCAATGTTGGTTTCCAGCAATTGCCATGGCAAAGGGCAAATACTATTCATTTTTTTTGTTTTTTTCACAAATTTGTTTACCTAAATAATTAATTTGGACAATATTTTCGGATAAGATTTTTGGGTTCCTATGTGCATTGGCGGACCCATAAATTTTTTAGCGGAGGTGCAATATTGACTAAGTA